AACTTTCTTCAATTGCTGATTTGTAATACTTTGATTTGGCTTGATCTATTAATTGTGTGACTTTATTTCTCCAAAATTTGTAATTTTCTGAATTTCTTTGTAGATGGTATGTATCACGTAAAAGTCTAGCATCATTTATTTCCTGTGTAAGCCATTTAGGTCGAATTTCAGTCTTGACTCTTTTAGTTTTTACTTTGGCATGTTTGTTAAGAATATCATTAAATAATTCATAAAATTTATTCAATATTTCGTTTGGGTCTTTTAGTTCAAGAAGACTGTTAAAATTTGCATTTTCTAAATCTCTTAGAAACTTATTTTCATTGAATTTTTTAAAATCTCGATATTGGATTTCAGTATGTTTTCCCTTACGCTGTATGCAGTTAGTTTTCCGTGTCAAACATACAGGGTAGTGGTCAGATATAGCAATAGGGGGCACACTGGTTTCACATATGTTTTCTGGTTTGGTTGTATAAAAATGATCAATTAAGGTACTTGAGGTACTTGTTATTCTAGTTGGAACAGTAATTATCTGTGAAAATCCAAACTCCTCTAAAGCAGATGTCCAGTATTGTGGGGGGTCTTTCATTAAATCAATATTAAAATCACCTGCTAGAATTATTTCAGTATCATCACAGCAGGAGGCACGGTTTACCTCCCTTGCTAGGTCCTCTGCCCAGCAGGAGGGGGCAGATGGTGGACGATAAGCAGAGCAATAAAATATAGGTTTTGAATTTCTTAAATTTATCTCTAGCCAGATTGTCTCAATATTACTGATTTCAAAATCAGTTCTACGTTTATATGAAATATCATTTGAAATGTATATTAAAATTCCACCACCTGCCTTTAGTACACGATCTTTTCTTTCAAAAACGAAGCCCTCAATATTCAATTCAGAGTTGCCTATCTGCTCGGTCAAAAATGTTTCACATATACCTAAAATATCTAAAGTTTGTCTATTTTGGAGCAGTAGTTTTATTTCATCAATTTTTGGAATAATATGACGAATATTTAAATTTCCGAATCTTAAACCTTTTTTTACCAACTTAAATCCTTGGTTCTTTTGTGTTGTTTGAATATCATTTTTATTGGTCAAAGGAACTGGGTTTTTTACTTGTGAAACAGATTTGAATGAGCTAGGCATAGGAGATATGACAGTAGTTTGTATAGCTGATCTCTGATTACTTTTAGAATCTGTGTTCAAATGAGTCTTTCGTTTAACATGTGGTTTTCTTGACAATTTAAAATTTGTAGAGTTATTACAGTTATCAGTATGGTCGTCACATGAACATTGAAAATTGTTACATTCATTACATAAAATACTAAGAATAGAAAATATACTAGAGTTTGGTAAAGATTTAGTTTGGTTGTGGACGGCTACACATTCATTGCCTGATACCTAGTACATGTATGGACAGGATTTCGTCTTGTGTCCTAATTCACCGCAGTTCCAGCAGTCAAGCTTTCGTCCGTGTCTACAGTGGCGTGATGTATGTCCGTGTTCACTACAGAAGTAGCAAGTCACAGACTGATAAAAGCTTGCATTGGAGTCCGTATTGGTTCGACCGGAATTCACACGCAGAATTGAAACTTCGCTGTTAATCCGTTTAAGCAGCATTGACGTCCCCTTGTCTGAAAGATGAATACCGTCTTTCCAATAATGCATACGGTTTACCTCCTTGAATTCACTTTTGTTGGAAATAAAGACACCTCCATATTCATCACATACATATTTTAGTGTGGTATTCACATGAGATACATCCACATCCCGTCTTGGTAATACTTCGGAAAAATATACTTTGGTTCCCGGAGAACGATGTTTGATGTTGGAGATGATTTCCGCGGCATCATGTTCAATGGCGTCCATGTCTCGATGAGATGAGGCATCATTTCCCCCGGCTTGGATAATGATGTGGGAGTATTCTGCTACATTTATTTTGAGAAGTTTAGCTTTGATGTGGGAAAGTTTAGCCCCTCTATTTGTTCTTACATGAACACCCTTTTGTAGTCCTCTTGTTCTTACCCGTTGTAGGATTGAACTGCCAATTATAAGTTTTGTATTACCAGATTTTTCCTTTTATTCAATCATGGATCTTACAGGTGTATGTATTGGGTGGTTGTGTGGTTCAGTGTTTGTACCAGAATCAGCTGTGCATTTTGTTTTCTTTTCCGGTAAAGAATGTTCGCACTGAGTGTGTCTAGATATGGAATTCGTTGGTGCAGATTTTAAACCATGCACGTCTGTTTCCTTGTTTTTCACAACCTTGATTGATGTCTGAGTGTTTTTGTCAACCAGTATTGGTTTGTTGTGATCGTCTTCTTTTATTTGACATTTTAGTTTTTCTTTTAATTCTTGTAATTCTTTAGCTAAATTACAGATAGCCAGTTGTAGAGATTGAATTGTATTCGCACACTGTGTACAATTTTGTACATCACTTGACTGACTGGTCGACACAAGAGAAGCACTTTTAACTGGAGTTGATGCCATTTGTGGTGATGATTGGCCCAGAACATTACTAATATTGTTAGTATCTTTGCTCTTGATGTCGTGAATGAATTTGTCAAGCCAGGTATTTGCTGACGAACCTTGAATGTGTAAGACGCTAGTCCCAGCATAGAGTGTGGCCGTCACAGAATCACAATCAGACTTGAAAATTTGTCCATTTTTCCCTACTTCTTTAATTGGTTTTAGTTCCTCATTTAAATAGCTCAAAATAGTTACATATTTTTCTTGTTGGAAGGACACAGTTATACTGTATTTGTTATATGTCACATTTAGGAAGTGTGGTATACTCACATCAGTAGTAGTGATATTTTCATCTCCATCAAATGATTGTGTAAGTCCAGAAAAGGATTTAAATAAGCTTGAATTAATACTTTGATCCATATATTCATTAGAATCAGCCATATATTTTGGCTAGGAAAACACAACACAATCACTCATAGTAATTCAACATAGGTGATTTCTCATTTGATTATACGCAAGAGCATGCTCTACGTATGAACAATTTCTGAAACGAGGTAAGTTATTGACAGACAAGTTGATGAAAGAAGAATATCAAGAGTCTCGTTTAAAGTCATCATTTTGCAAGTTCTATGGTCGATACAATGACCATGTCAGCAAATACAATCTATCATTAAGTCATATACTGACTAACGTTTTTCATACTAATTATGAGGTCATTATTTACACACTGAATTGTCGACGGATTTTCCCGTTATTTCCCGATCATGAAAAGGAGCACACGGCGGGTGTGACTCGTCGGGTGGGGATGCTCACTCCTCCATGGCACCTGATCCAACCTCTGATGTTTTTGGAGGTCCGTGTTTGCTCTGCTCCCGATTTGTAATTTGTATTGCTTTAATGGACTTTGACCTTGAATACTGTTCGTTATCTCCATATTTCATCATAAACTTATTTGTCAATAGCTTGACTCGGTTTAGAAATTGTTCGTTCGTAGAGCATGATCTTGCGTATCAAATGGGAGACATAAACTCCAAATGCAGGTGATAATGGTATATTGCTACATATATTGTAAATAAGGGAAATTGTCTCTGTGTATTTGTGATCCAATTATGGATCTGTTCCCTGTCGCTCACAGATATATCATACAGTTAGACATTATTAATCCTTCGTAAAGTTCACAAAAGTATTCATAAAAATGATTTGATGAAGTTCAAGGTGACATTTAATTAGTGCCTGTCAGTCAGCAATCTCATATATAAATAGCAGGACTTCTTTATATTTCATCGTGTTTTCGTAAAAATGATTGAACAATAGTTACAATATACATACCATGAAATTTAATACTAATTATCTTTCGCAAACTATATTGAACTATAGTACATGTCTCAATACTTTTATTTACTATGATACTCTGATTTTTAAAATTTCATCACTATCAGGGTACTTTGATTATTTTCTAAGCATAGGAACAATACTTTCTCAGTTATTTCAAAATTTCAAAAGCTAGAAATCACAATACTGAACTGATATAAATAAATAAATAAATAAATATTTTTTTAAATTTTAAATATGATTTACTAAAGGCAAACTTGGAAACTTTAATGAGGAAAAATAGAAATACTTTAATCTTTTGAAACGTTTATTTATTCTACTAAATAAAACTATAAAAATATAATTTTATAGAGTGAACATTCATTTCAAACAAAGTAGCAGATTTGTATATTGTAATTCGATGATTGTATTCAATTAGGCTTATTTAGGGATAATTAAATCAATTTTTTCTGTCCTTTTAATTGGAGATTTGAAGATGTAAATTTAATATTATCACCCTATAACTAATAAGGAATAGTACAACGAATACATGTAAGCTATATCCTGATATGCGGCTGACGTTCTATAAACGCTATCCAATAACAAACAAAAAGAAGATTATGTACACGTTTATATATACATGTATCATCTTTGACTACTACTATACCAAACCTTCTTTACATAAACCTTCTATTAGGCACTTATCATCTAAATATTGTTTAAGTCATCTTAATAGGCTTTGTCAGCAAGAATTCCTTTTAATTTTATTTATTATGTGTACTCAAAACTCCACAAAACAAAAATTGTAAATAATCATACCAAATTTTATACTCTAGACTCCATAAAAACAAATATTGTTAAAAACAAAAAAAGTAAATTTATTCTCATTCATTAATTTCTCAAAACTTTGGACACCGAGCAATGTATAGGTACAACTGACTATTGTTGTCATGGTGTTTTTATCATATTGAACAATACAAAATGCTGTTTATAACTCTTGTTACGAACATAAAATAAAAATATAATGTCTTGATTTCAAACAAAGAGAATAATTAGTTTTGACTTTTGTGTTCTAAATATAATTATTAAAATTATAAAAGTCTTAATTTTTTCATGCTTAAAACTATAAAGAATTACATATATTTAACTTTAAAAAATCTTATATAAACAATAAATAACAGCTAAATATATTTCTACATTACAGCAAGTATATGCATTGTGTAAAATATTTATATCATACACATATACACTCCTATATAAAGAATAAATATATCTATACAAAAATAGTGATTTTAGCTCGAAATATTGAACACTTCATAGCATGTAATCAAAACTACATTCTAATATCACTCTTTCGGAATAATATCACATACAATATATATCGTATCCCTGCAATTCTGCAACAGTTCGGGCAGTACACGAATATCTTCTCAGACAACCCATTTAGATGATCGTATCTTGAATATTTCATTCCTAGATTTCGCTAAACCGATTAATCAGCCCTGAGAATTATTTGTAGATACAAGTCAGCTGTGTTTTATCAACACAGTCCAAACTTGCACAAGCAAAATTCCTAATGAATGGATTTCGGATCTGAAAAAATAATAAATTAAACGCTTTAAACAATTACAGAAAAACTTATGAAATACGGATGTTGCGTATTCCGAAACCTTGCCTTTTCCGAACAAAGATTTTAGTCCCTTTCAGTTAATCCAATAGTATAAAATGTTGTCTAATCCGGAATGTTGTGTATCCGAACAATTTTATGGAATGCATACGGATGACGTGTTTAGTAAATAGACACTCTGCTGGGGGAGAAAATCGGGTTTGATTGGCTTTCAGCATTTCTAGCTCGAGCCAAAGCCAAAAACCCTTTTCATACATTTTACCTACAGTATCTATATTGATTTGTTCTGGTTAGGTACACTTAAGGAAAACGAATGTTTTATACTTCCAAGCGAATAGAATTTTGCGTCACTGCCACTTTCTGGTCTAACCGAAAATAATAGATTGTATATATCCTTTTTTGTCCTTATCAAATTTAATAAATTTACATATTTTGTATATCATTTGCAAATTGTCATAAATATTCTTTGTACTTTTGATTCTTTGAAATTATTACGACCTGCCCATTTTCGGTTAAAAAGATAAAATAGAAATAAGACACTATTAAACCATCATTTTCTCTAAATTGAATGCACTTAACAGAAAACAGAAAAATATGGATATTGTATGTAATATGTATGTTGAAGATTCATTCCATTAGACAGAGAAAAAAAAATGTTGAAATTTTCTCAAACCCGATTACGTCCCATAATAATGTCTTACCTCTTTTTTTGTATTTATATGCTTTCGATATACAAACATATGGTGAGAGTGAAAATACTTAAAATAAAAATCTTGCAAACAAGTAAAAAAAATTATATTTTCACTATGAAACATCACAAAATAAATGTGTAGTAAAAAAAAAAATCATATCTTAGACATACAGGAACTACACAGGAAAGTGGTTGGTCCCAGCATGTTTACACAAACAGTTTCTATCACCGTAATAAATTGTGTGATCACATATTGTGATTATCTGCGGGCATGCAGTAACAAAAAGTAAGAAAAAAACCCATAGAGATACATGACTTGACTTACTATGACGTTGTGATTACATCGTTCTCTGTCATCAGGTGTACGACAACCGGAAGTCAGTCTTTGAAATACGTCATTTCCTTCTGCCCCCCAGTCATAAACTATGTTGTATGCCTGGCTAGACTGTAAAAAAATGTCTTACACACTACATTGGTGCATTTAAACAGGCTTATTTTCGCTCCGTATTATTTTCGCCCTTTCTCTCTTGCAATGAAAAAGGTCAAGATAACGGACAGTGATTGATCTCAAAATATTTACAAAAAATAAAATATGTGAACAGGGCATATAACACGAACCCCCGGAAATTCCACAGGTGTGATCAGGTGCCCAGGAGGAGTAAGCATTCCCTGTTGAAACGATTTCGCCCCATTTTAAATTTGTCAGACGCTGTACGATATTTTTGTTTTCTTTGAATTCATCCCGTTTTAAATTCGCCTACTCGCAAAGAGGGCGAACGGGTGAAAAATAAAACGGGCGAAATCTTTCCTGTATGCAGTATTTAAATGCACTGTTTAAAGTGTTAAAGCAGTCGTAAGCTATAGACGACTTTCACATTTACAAAAGTTATTATTTTCCCTTTGTAGGGTCAATCTGGGGTCAGCACTGTTTTCCCTCTATAACATTACCAACTCTATGGGACAGTATCTTAAAAATTAAATCTTTATGAATATGTTCATTCTATTTTTTATGTTGCCCCATACTATGACGATACACGAACAGATCAAAACTGCATTTGAAGGTTGAAAATATTTACAATTAACTTACAAAGGACATAGTGAGAAAAATGAATGTTTCGCCGACAACGGGAGATAACTCTTAAGAATGTGAAATTCGTCTATACAGAACATTTACTGCGTAATGACTGTTTTGTATCAATGTAACAAGAGGCCCATGGCCATGTTTGTACCGATTTTTAGGGAGTTTTGAATTAATCCAGTATAGGTATGGTAATTCAAACTCATTTTGATTGTTATGAATATTAAAAATATTTAAAACTGACATATGATTTTGAAGAATTTCATCCTTAGAAAGGGAACTATGGGTATAAGTTGGATTACCACTTGCAGAATAAAATCCTAGTTCCTCTAAAATACAATTCAAATAATGAGCCTCACAAACAAAAACAATTTTGTTACCTGCTTTGTCAGCTGGGACCAGTACATACTGATCGTGTAATCTAATTCTTGTTTCACTTCTGCATTGTCGAAGACAGAAGGATAGATGGTTTTAATATTGCCTCTCAATCGCGTAATACGGGATTTCAACATCCATCTGATACATTTAATCCATTCTGACAAAGTGTCACGGTCTTTTTTCATATTTACCCATCGTCTTGAATAATCTTCTACTGAATACATAATATTTATGAAATTATGACGCCAGTTTGAAAGTTGAAATATGTAAAACTTTGATCCTCTGTTGTCCCCCCCAACCCTTGGGGGTTATAATTTGAACAAACTTGATTCAACAATACCTAAGGTTGCTTCTGTATAAATGTGACTAATAATGGCTTAGTTGTTTTTGAGAAGAAGATTTTAAAGATATTTCTTACATAACGTGTATGATCAGGGTCTTACAATGGATATATAGGTTTTCCTTTTACTCTGTCTAAATTAATGATTGGAATGATTATTAAGACAGCTCTGTCTGAGGGTAAATCACACGGAACTTAAATTTTCTCTTATCTAGAGATAGGGACTGGGTTACTTAGGTACTACTTTCACCGTGTTTCTCCCCTAGGTTCCCATTGATAGATGAGAACAAGTTGTCTCAATCTTCTTCAGATTTACTACACCCAGAACTTAACATCATTGATATTGGTGCTTATAAGTTTTATACTTTTACTTTGATCTTACCCTTAACTTCTTTATTGCTGATTCAAATGCCAACTTCTTCAGCTAGTTTCTGAATGCCTGACATCCCCAAAGCTTTGCTTTATATACCCTTTGGCTAGTCCATTTCAAGGGTTGTCAGGTCATTCCACTATTTGAAGTCTTCAATGCATTTTACGCCCCTTTACCATTTCATCGATATATTTCTATGTAAAACTTTGACCCACTGTTGTGGACCCGCCTTACCCCCTGGATCATGATTTGAACAAACTTAAATCTACACTACCTAAGGATACTTCTGTATTAATGACTAATAATGGCTTAGTTGTTTTTGAGAAGAAGATTTTTAAAGATATATCCTATATATTCTTATGTTAAACTTTGACCCCTCTTTCGGCCCTGTCCTACCCCCAGGGGTCATGACTTGAACAAATTTGAATCTTCACTACCTGAGGATACTTCTGTAATAATATGACTTATCATGGCTTTGCTGTCCTCGAGAAGAAGATTTTGATATTTCCTACATATTTCTATGTAAAACTTCGACCCCCTATTGTGGCCCCGCCCTACCCCAGGGTTATGATATGAACAAATTTGAATCCAGAGTGAAGCTATTACATAAGTTTTATCTTTTCTTGCCCAGTGTTTCTTGAAAAGATTTTTAAAAGATGCCACCAAATTTTTACGAATTCTTAATTAGCTCCACTTGAAAGAGGAAGTGGCACTTCCTGTAAACAAATTTGAATCCCCTTTACCCAAGGATGCTTTGTTGCAACTTTGGTTGAAATCGACCCAGTGGTTCTTGAGGAGAAGTCGAAATGTGTGAAATGTTTACAGGCGACAGACGGACGCCGGACACTTTTCGATCAGAAAAGCTCACTTGAGTCTTTGGCTCAGGTGAGCTAAAAACAGATGTTTGTGTTTTTGTTTTCCTGAGCTTTTGACCTTTATTGTTTTGTTTGGTGTATTTGCTCCCCTCCCCTTGAAGGAATTTCAATTAGCAAATGTTAACTGCATTTCCATGAAAGTTTTTCACACAAATATAAGTAAAGATGATTTTTTTAATTCAGTTATGTGTCAACAATCTCATTTAAAGTCAACATTTTGCAAATTCTATGGTTGATACAATGACCTTGTTATCAAATACAATTTATCATTAAGTCGAATGTTGACTGACGCTTTTCATACAAATTGTGAGGCCATTCATTTCACACTGAATTGTCTACGGATTTTTCCATTTACCTGATCTTGACACGGAGCACACGATTGGTTTGATAGTAGACAGGGGATACTTACTCCTCTATGGCATCTGATCCCACTTCTGATGTTTTTAGAGGTCAGTGTTTGCTCTACTCCCAGTTTCATTGTTTCACTGCATTTATGAACTTGATTACTGTTCGTTATCTTCCTATTTTATAGATAAATTACATGTAGTATTTCATTAACAAACCTTGTCTATTTTTCCAAAATTTGTGAAGGTGTCAATCGGTCCAGGATATTCAATCTCACATCGGATTACATACCGCGCCCAGCGCTCCAAGTGATTGTTCCATTTCTTTAAAGCAAAAACATACTTGTAGATCATCCTTATCATATAAATCAAATGGAGAAAAAATTACATGCACCAAATGGCCAGCTCTTAGTATTCCCTGAAGGGTTTGATGAGGTATATAAATGTGTTACAATATGCAGTCTTACCAGATCCGACATGCCGGTTCCTCTGAGTGTATTATGAACCTGAGTCAGACGAACCTTGTCCGTACTGTTCATTGGACCTAAACACAGATATATAATTATTGGTCATAATGATCTCAAGATCATGAAAATTAATCAGATTTTTTTACTCTCATTTTAAATTTATTTGTCCTTTTTAGCTATCATCTTTATTTTGTCTTCCTTTTACGTCATTTAGTTTTATCATAAAAATTTAATGTTTGGAATACATCAGTATTTAGATATATGTACCCAAACAAATCATTAAATAATAGATATATTTTCACTTTCAACAAATATATGGTAGATTGTTAGACATAACTTTAATTTTGGAAACTTTATGATTTTTTATATAATGAAACAACATAAATCAGGTTATAATTATCATAAATACCTTGCATACAATATATAACAATAAGTAATTAAGGTGCAGTCATGTTATCAGTTATAAATCAAGCTAAAGCAGTTAGAGAATATACCTTGTAGAATGAAATATCACAAAATGAATAGCGCAGTATCGAGATTAATTAAAGATTTGTTTATTTACTATTAACTTGTCTTAGAGAGAGAAAACAACCAACTTGACCATCATCCTGAAAATGAAGTGACAAAGAAAAAAGTCTGTTAATGTCAAATACCCATAGTGTTTCGAAAGTATCGTTTACTTGAAAGTATCATTAGCATATTTTCTGCTTTATATATAACATTTTAGATACATTATAATACAGATATAGCAATATGATTTTCTTGTATAGAAAAAGTGGTAATTGCGAGAATGAAAATAATGAAAAGATGCCCATTTTAGACAGGTATTTGCGCATGCTTCAAAAATTTTTTAAAAAACCAAAAATAAAAAAAAACAAATAAACAAACAAATTAAAACAAAAATTACCTATTCTGTCACAAAATCTGATAAGTATGGCAACACCGTCATAAAATGAAATGCGATTTCTCATAAGATTTTCTATTCATTGAACATGACAATAAGAAACTGTTTTCTTTTCTTGTAAATGGATTTAATCAAGGAAAAAAAGATATCGGTACTTTACGTCCTTGATTTCACAAATATTTTCTTTCAGTTTAATGTTCTATCAATGTATAGAGAAATAAATATAGAAATCATATACAGATTTCCTATTGTATCTCATGGTGGGTTCCTTGTATTTTTCCTTTATTAATTTTCACCATTGTTCTTATTTTATTTGCATTAGACAGTTGAAAGAATGCAATGCAAGCATTTCATTTGTCATGTCAGTCACGTGTTCCTTTTTATGAATTTACTTCACATATATGTAATGTTTTCTGACCCCTGCCAAAGAATTCTTATATACTGCAATATGGGGGGGGGGGGTCTAAGATCATGGCTGAGCATTAAGGCTTCCAAACTGCTTTTGTTGGGCCATGCAGCATAAATTCCCATATTATATACAAGTATCACTAAATATCTTATGACGATCAAATACACAAGAGTAGCAATATTTTTGTTTATATGGTGATCACGCGCTGGATGCAGTAAGTGACACTTCAGGCGAAGCAGATTTTGTTGGTCTGCAGAAAAACTTACTTTCAATTCTAGCTGGCGCGTATCTGTTTCGTCTCCGCTCTTGTCGACGTCGTTCTAATTCCCGCTGTCTTTCCCGTCGACGTCTCTCCTCCTCTCTCCGACGCTCAAGTTCCGCTTGTAGACGCTCCTCTTCCCTCTGGCGTCTCAACTCCTCCAATTTCCTTCTTTGTTCCTCATGAAGACGTCTGTCTTCGTCCTCACTCTTTCGTATGGCTGCAGTTCGCTCTCTGAGTTGTTGTGCTAACAGATTACGCCTGTGCTCTCGTTCTTGCCTTTCTCTCTCTTCTTCGCGCCTGCGTTGTTCCTCTCTTCTCCTCAGCAACAGTTGATATCGATAGTCATCCCTCCTTGTTTGTCGTTTAACTGTGTGACATTTTATACCAAGGACTCAATATATATGCATTACCATTTATCGTACCTTCACTCGAGAATATAATCTGTACTCTCTGCGTTACATTATCCAATAAAATATAATTTCTCTAAGCTGATGAAGAACTTGATTCTAATTTAGTATATACATATATATAAAAAAGAAAGTAAAATTCGATAAATCTAAAAAGGATCGTTGTAATTTTTTTTATATAATTAGTACTCACTTCTCACTTTTTGTCCTTTATTTACCCTCTTCTGTGCGGAGACATGACATTTCATTGTTCTTATCAACTACTCATATGTCTATAAAAATATCTATCTGACCAACATAGGTTTTCTAAATTAAGATCAAGATTTATAAATGTTTTTTTTTTCCTTATTTTTTCATAAAAATTTTAGTAAAAAAAAACTTTATCGATGAGTTCATGATAATTGAATGTTACACTTTTAAAATCACTATAATAATTGCAATTTAAATTAAAGTTTAATTTCTTATTGTAACAAATACATTCAGCGAGTTTTTGATCGAAAGTCATTAATTTCAGTTAAGGTGAGTAGAATTAGGGAGTTGATTAGTTTGTCACATGTGTTTGTCAGCAGAGTTACCTCAATAAATTACAATTACAGTCAAATCTTGTTAATCTCGAACTTGATACTTCGAGTTATCCCAGGATAACTACGAGGGGTACATCCTAAAATACTTTAAGAATAAGTGGTTGGAATTTCCAAATCACTTCAATATATTTATGGTATTCGAGATATCAATGTTCGAGATACCGAACTTCAACTGTATATTTATCTACTAGTAAACGTAAAGACCGCACAAATGAAGCGTTTTAGAGTATTAAAGGCAGTTAAATGCAATAGAATGAATACTCAGTACCTCTTGCAGCTTGTGATGAGCGCCCTCTTGATGCCGTAGTTGCTGCCCTCTGTTGACTAAGTCGATATTGTTTTCGTCTGTGGGTTGTAGGTCTTTCTATGTAACTTGGTCTTCTGCCTTTCTGGGCCAGATACCTGGGGGTCTGCCGGATCCGGATGTTGCCTTTGCTATCTAGATACCTATACCCCTGGAGTATTCTCCCCTTGGTGTGTGAAGATTTGTCATCTCCGAAAGGTTTTATGATTCTATTCCTGTCTCTTGATGAAGGTCTTGTTGCATTCAAAAATTTTCTTCCATCCACTAAAAAGATTTTAAAAACAGTTTCCGAATAGATTCATGATTGATTCCTTTTGAAACTTTTTAATTTTTTTTTTAAAGTAATTGCTTGAAAGGTAAAATAATGATAAAATGTTAAAATTTTATGAAATATTTAATAAAATGACAGAGTGCAGGGGAGGCGAGTATGGAAAGAAGCAATATTTATTGAAAAACTTCTACATGAAAAGAAATCTCCTGCTATGACCTTTAATTCAACATTTAGATATATCGACGACGTTTTATTAATTAATAATCAAATGTCTGTCTACGGATTTTTTCGGTTTTCCCCCCGATCATGACAAGGAGCACATGGCGGGTGTGACCGGTCGGCAGGGGATGCTCATTCCCCCCAAGGCACCGGATCTCACCTCTAAATTTTGAGGCCCGTGTTTGCTTGCTCCAAATTTGTATCGTTACATTGGACTTTTGAGATTGAATACTGTTCGTTATCTTTCATTCATTCCTACATTGATTCGTTACATCTTTTGAACTCAAGTAAAAGACTCCAAAGAATCTGACACATCTCTCTCATATTTGGATATTTTATTAGAGAAAGACTTTATAATCAGTGACCTCTGAAAACTAGATGAATTATATTCAACGAGATGAATTATACTTTCGTATTGTTAACTTTATTTATTTATTTAGCAATATACTATTATCACCTGCATATGGAGTTTATGTCTTCCAGTTGATTCGATATGCAAGAGCATGTTCTATGTATAAAACGTGGAAAGCCATTGACAAATAAGTTGATGATAAAAGGACACCAACAGTCTCGTTTTAAGTCAACATTTCGCAAGTTCTATGGCCGATACAATGACCTTGTTAGCAAATACAATCCATCGTAAAGTCGAATCTTGACTGACATTTTTCACATAGATTGTTCGGCAATTAATTTCACACTGAATTTCCTACGGATTTTCCCGTTTACCTATGACAAGCAGCACAGGACAGGTGTGACCGGTCGGCAGGGGATGCTTACACCTCCACCTGATCCCACATGTGATGTTTTCAGAGGTCCCTGTTTGCATTGCTCCGAATTTGTATTGTTCTAATGGACATTTGTACTTAATTAAAATTCGTTATCTTCATATTTCACCAAAGAAAAATTTTCACGATGTCACCAAGCAGTTTTGTAAAGATAAACCAAAGAATCTTGGTGTTAAGAAGAGCAAGGATGCTGTGATGGTATCAAAAGAAGCATGGATAATAGGAAGATAGAAGGTATTTTTTTAATAACGTACTCCACAGGCCTGAACCAAATCAACCAGCCATCCAATTTGAGACCAACTCTCAGAAATCCAAGACCTAGACATAGAACCATATGCATCAACGAGAGATGAGATCAGAAATATATTCAGAGGCATGATTAAGAAAGGAAAGGCGCCTGGAGTTGATAACTTCACGCACGCAAGACACCTAGAAACAGCGTTAAAGAAAAAAACAAAGGTATTGAGAGAAGAAACTAATAACAAACGACTGATAGTTAAGCTTACCTAAAATAAAAGAAGCATGCTCTGGCGTATCGAATCAACTGAGAGATATAAACCCCGTATGCAGGTGATAAAGGTATATTGCTGCATAAGTAAGGGAAGTTGACGATTGAAAAGTTAAAGTCATCAAGTTTATCATAAAGCTTTGTTGTTAGATTACCATTAACGTCTTTTTCAAGTAAAATATCCAAATATGAAACAGATGTGTCAGACTTTGTGGTATCTTTTATCTCAAGCTCACCGGGGTATATCGTGTCGACATAAGAATGGAAATAACCATTGTTAATTGCCAATACGTCGTCGATATATCTAAATGTCGAGTTGAAGGTCACAGCAAGTGTTTTCTTCTTTTCACGTAAAAGATTTTGATCAAACTCTGCTTCATGTGAATACAAAAATAGGTCTGCTAATAACGGAGCGCAATTGGAACCCATGGGAATTCCAATAGATTGTTGGAAGACCTGGTCTCCAAAAAAAAAACAACACACATAGATATTGTCAATCAGAAACTCGAGCATCTTTTTAATGTCAACTTCAGAGTACTTGTGTGTACAATCAGAATGTTTTTTAACAAAATAATTTTGCAAATGACCAATGACAAGGTAAGTATATTTACGAGTTCCATTTTTATTGAAAAAGCAGCTGTCAACGATGTCAGAAACTGGACTTCAATTTATCGTGGGGAATAGTTGTATATAAAGTTGAAAAGTCGTAAGTTTTTATGCTGTTGATTTTGGTAAAATTTTGTGAATTCAAATGTTCCAAAAGTTCTTTTGGATTTTTTAGTATCCACGTCTGATTTACACCACTTCTCGAATATATTGTTGCACAGTACTCTTGAAGTTTCTCCTTCACTACTGTTAATATCTTAGTGAAGAGTAAAGATAGAGGCTTGGTTGAACATTTACTGGAACCCACTATGTATCTTTGTTTGTAAGAATTTTTATGAAGTTTCGGAATCCAATATAGCTATGGTAATTCAGACTCATGTTGGTTGTTGGGAATATTAAAAATATTCAAAACTGACATATGATTTTGAAGAATTTCCTCCTTAGAAAGGGAGCTATTGGTATAAGTTGGATTACCACTTGAAGAATTAAATCCCAGTTCCTCTAAAATACAATTTATATAATGAGTCTTACAAACAAAGACAATGTTGTTACCAGCTTTGTCAGCAGGGACCAGTACGTCCTGATCTTGTAATCTGTCTAATTCTTTTTCAGCATTCAAATAATTTTGGCTATGGTGCACACTAGTTCTTAAAGTTATAATATAAGAAAACAAAATAAAAAAAATATTGGACAACTCTCGTAGTAAAGATCAAATACAACGGAAGTCAGAAGAATTGAACACAATTTCTACAGGATTAAAAATTTAACACGGCAAAAACAAAGGTAATTAGAATGAACAACAACATCATCCAGAAGATAGCTATGAACAAAAGCGCAAATAAGTCTATCTCTTAAAACAAGGATGGATAGACAGGGAGATACAGAGAAGAAAGGCTTATGCTGGAGAGACTACAGACTCTCCGAGATAAGGTCAAGTAGTCAACTTTCAAGAATACCAAACTGAAAATCTTCAAGTCAAATGTAATATATATGTTTGGCTATACAGCGCCGAAACAAGGGAAATTGGAAAAGGAGATGAAAACTACTTGACAACTTCCAAAAATGTCTTGGAAAGATTTTGAGAATATTTTGGTCAGCACATATCACAAATGAAAGAGTCAGAGAATTAGCAAAGAAGGAAAAGATATCATAAAAACCAGGAGATGGAAATGGATAGGACATGTGCTAAGAATGAGAGCCGATGCCATACCAAAACAGCCTTAACATAGATGATGTAAGACAAGGAAGAGCAAAGGAAACATGGAGAAAGACTGTAGAAAAAGGGAAAAAACTTTCTGGATTAAGATCGTGGGACGAAGCCGCCGTGAAATCTAGAGACAGACAAAAATAGAAAATGACTTATCCATGGGGCGATTCACCACACGGTGAGAAGAAATTAAAAAATTATCATTAGAATCTTACTTTTCCCAATATCATGCTATGTATGGTAGAGAACAAAACTGGACGAGATTTTAAGGGATTGATGCTTCATACAGACCTTGACCTCTAGACATTTTATAAGGGTATCTGACAGGTGTATTTGTGTATTGACGGTAGTTTCCGGCTCAGGTACATTTTATATAACCACCTTTTGTCAAAGTGACAGGAAGGTCCTCATCTAAAGAGGGGCTCTCAGTCAATGATACCTCCGTGATAATGGCTTCAGATAAACCTTTGTTTAAATTCTGTTGATACGGATGTTCCATTTACAAACACGATAGGCGAGTACGTTAATCTAATAACCGTGTATATATATGATAAGTACTTGTATCACTAAATCTCATGATAAGTCAATGTTAAAATTAAGTTTACGAATTATAACTATTATAACAAAGAAAATTCACGAAGGGTAATCTGTTATAATGGCTAAATTTGTTGTTCAATGCAGTGTAGCTTTGATGTTGAGAATGTTCAGCTTTTCAATCTCACTTTCTCTCTCTCCTTCTTATTAGAAGATTATAAAAGGGTGCTTCACCATTGTCGCTTTGAGCAAATGTTATGCTATAAATTTTGAATTTACCGGGTGGAAGTAAATACAAAATTTACAAGTTGTCATGTTGTAAATTTTGTATTTACTGCCATCCGGTAAATTCAAAATTTACAACATGAAACAAAAGTTGGATCCACTTTATATATTCATACTTGCATATTAATTTTTGATAATTGTAGGTGTTCATCATTTTATAGAAAGAATTTCCTCACATATATATTCCTTTTGTATCCCACTAATCTAAAGATATATTTAGATACATGTATACACTAACATACTGTGTATGTAGGTGGTTGGAGTTTTTAAATTTTTTTTAAGGATTTTTCTTTTTAAAGACGTCCCCTTTATTCATTTATGTCCCACTCGATCAATCTTAATTAAGATAAATGCATTGAATGTTGTTTTCGGGCCTATACTAATACAGGATGTTTGACTTGAATAATTTTAGTCTTTCTGTTCCACAAGAACTCTTCTGATATATTCCTGTGTAAAACTTTTTTTGTTGTACATGTGGGAAGTTTTTTTTTTCTCTTCTAATGTGGCCCACAAGAACTCTTCTAATATATTCCTGTGTAAAACTTTTTTGTTGTACATGTACATGTATACTGCATCCTTCCCAATAAGGCCATAATTGATAAAAATAAAAACCCCTTCATTTATGCTAATGAGGATGGTTGCATATCATTTTGACAAATAATATTAGTAGTCTTGCCGTTCTATAGCTTCTAACAACTTCCCGTTACATAAGATGAATATATATGTTCTCTTACAAGAGCAGAGACCACGGCGACACGTTGAGTATAGTGGACACCTGGAACACTTCCGGCCTAGTGAATATGGCGGACGAGCTGTCACTGTTCTACAAAAAAATGCAAGTTTACATAAGAAAAAGCTTTGAAAGTTAAGACAAAATGATTTTGAACATTTGATTTACCACTTTTAAACCACTTTTACACTTAATAGCATTAACGGATCTGTAAAACTAAAAAAAAAAACAAACATTTTTCTTCTTTCTGCACAGCAGATGGCGACTTGGGTATCATGTAAGTTTAAACTGACTGGATGGATGTACATACAGTCTTTATAACGTCACAACTTTCTATTAGATAATAAGTAAATTCAAAATTTACGATGTATTAAATAGATTAATTTTGTCTGTCCTTCTGTTAGCGTACTTTTTTAAAAAATAACTTTCAGAGGATTTTCCTTATGATCACCTAGTAATATTGAATTTGACCTTTACCTTTTATAACTTTTTATTGTAAAAAATGTCACGATGTTCACTTTTTTCAATCGATAGAGATAATAATTATTTGCTTGTAATAAGATCTTTTTAAAAATAGATAACCTTCAAATTACAGTTTGACCTTTTACTCAAAAATTAGTTTCATCTTATTGTCTATGATTGGCAATAATATGACTTTGTAAAGCATGTATATAGTCCAAAATATCTGACGTTTTCGAGGCTTTTTTTTTTTCACTATTTTAGTATTTGATGTGCCAGGAAAACGTCAGAACCGGCGCCATTATATATAAATAAATTCTTCCGAGAATCCCTCCCCCGGGACTCTGACTTTATTTTAGTATTTGACCTTAATTCGAGGAGAAAATCAAATTTCAAATTAAAGTTCACCCTCTTAAATATTTGAAACAAATGTTGAAAGGTTTCATCAACACTCTTGCATATATGGTATAATCTACAAAAATAATTCAAATTAGGTTAATACTAGTTATTTAGAATATTCTAAGATGTTGTATTTTATGCAGTGACTTACGTCGGAGAAAATAAGCAAACAACAAAATACATATTTGCTTCTTCGTCCTTTCGCTGATTGCGCATGCTTGAACAGCGTGTAAGGGAACATGCAGCATTGTTTGAAGTTGCAGTGATCATCTGTATTGGAAAGCAAAATCAAAAAGGAAATTAAAACAATAATAAACACTCATAATATAATTTTGTGATTATGCCGAAAGGAATCAAATAAAAAAAGCTCATTATTGAAAAAAGCAATCAAACTTAAATAAAAACATTAGAATTTACATAGTGTGTGATCTTTAATTGTAATTTATTTTTCATTCAGAACAAACTTGTAATAATGAATACTAGTATATACATGTATGCAGAAAAGAAGTTGCTTTTTTTATTTTGTTTAATTAACGCGTGGATATGAACGGATATTTTACCCATTTTGTTTTAATATGCATGTGTGTATATGAATGTGAATATGTCTGTAAAATATATATGCCAAAAATAAATATTGTACCCAGGAACCTATATACAAAAGTAGGGCCTTATTGTACTATTTTTACACTTTGTGCCTTATGAAATTTTATTTGCAAGAAAAAAATTAAAGAAAACCTATATGTTGTTAAGAACTAAGTGACATTGCCTCCCGCAAATAGTCAAGATATAATCATAGTATCTGATAAAACCCTAACGATGATAGATTTATGAATGGGAGGAATGCTACGGTGTCATGGACGTTTGACGCAGTAGCGCCCTCTTTTGTGGCTGTAAGCGTGTTGATGACACAGATCGAGATGTTGTCTAACTATTGAGGGGAATACCAATGTAACCTGATCCACCTGAGATTTTATCAAAATGCTATATACACAGGTATATTTCACCGAAACAGCTCTGGTATGGTGAAGGCTTTCTGAATCTTTTAAAAAGAATTATACACCTTCTTTTCATATAATATTTCAACAATTATTTGTAATTGTGCATTCATTCAATTGTAAAATGGCAATGAAATTTGAATTTTGAAAAAAATGAGACTTTTCTTGCAATCTAAACTGTATCTTATGATAAAAAGGATGTAGAATTTGTATCACCTTGTGAATTTTAATCTGGAAATTATATTATGGATTTTTTTGCAATTTAAAATTCCATGTGTGTGTGTACATTTCTGCAAGCAGGTGTTGCATAATTATTTTATGATAAATGTTTTTTTTACATTTCTCCATATTAATTTTCCCTGACATACCTTAATATATTCGCAGGTGTTTTGTGCTTCACAAGACTGCCAGCCAAATCTTGTAAAGTTTGATTTCTGTGAGGCCCAAAATCGAATAGCATTCATGATAATCTCCCCTGGTCGAGCTGTAGGGTCAAACAACTGTTTATAAAGGGCTAAAGAGTATCGACTGTCTGGTCTACTTTCAAAATCACAGGATCGCCCAAGTCTGCGAGATTCTTTAGCCATTGTCAAGTCCCACCTCTATTATAATTGAAATAAAAATATATGTAAAAAGAACTAGCTGCTGAAGACCTTGCCTTAAAAGCATTTTTTCAGAAACAAATACATGTAGCATTTACTGTAACTGCATACATATTGTTAAACTTCAAAGTTTGAATGCGCGCAACTGCAGTGACCAAAGCATTGGATTGTTGAATTGAATTAGAAAGGGGTAAGAAGATTTTTAGACAGGGCCTTATATATAAGATTGCATAGCAAGTTTGGGAAATACGAAGCTCTAGACTCCATAAGCATTGTTACAGGTCTATAGAAAGGACTAGTTTGTACCTTCATTTTGTTGTCGCTGGCCGTCTTTAATCTGAGTGATATATCTTCACACTGACCTAGTACACCATATAAAGCTAATTATTTGTGAAATCTTCTAAAACAGATAAAAGATTTATATAAAGAGGTCAATATAATTATCTTCCCCTGGAGCCGGACTGCTCGTTTGATGGGCAAGGAGAGTGATTTCTTCATTGTTTAAAGCAGCCCATGTGGTGACCAGTTTTGCCCAGGGACCATTAGATCGCATACCTTGGAGAAGTATACACACCTGTCTCACGGACAGTGACACAGAAACCCATAAAACCCACGCTATAGCTTGTTACATCGATTTATCTATTGGTGTACTAATCTCCAGTAACTTAGAGTCTCAAATGATAAATATACATATAATACGATGGAAATGTTTTAATGTAAGTTTATAAAATGATATCAATTTTTTTGTTTTTTTTTGTTTTGTAAACTGTCTAATTGTTGGTGTACTAGTAGCGCATCTTTTTCTATTTACATCTTGATTTATTAGTTAAAAATTAAATTAGACATATCTTAAAGTCAGTCATTTCTATAGTGAAGATTTCTTGTCTCCGTTTCTATTCATTTTTTTTTTTTTATCAAAACTTAATACGTAATATGCAAAGAGAGCTATTCAACAATGCTTGATGTAATTCAATTACATCTTAAGGTATTTGTTCGTTACCCAGTAGTATGGTAAATATGTATTTAAGCACATGAAAAGGAACGGAGAAATTGGACACCGGTATATTTGCTTTTATTTGGAAACAGAATACGTTTATAACTTCTTGCAATAACATTTATATGTACCAGGGACTGAGAGACCGGATATTGACACCTTTAGTTTTCATACTTCCTCTTGCCTAATGGAGTTGCAATAACAAATGCAATCTTGTTAGAAAGTAATTGATTGAAAAGAATAATGGTGAAACAACAAACACGTGACCTCGTCATGTCCGGTTCGCCACCACAAACAAATGTTTTCTCACGCCACCGTCTATTTAAATCCGAAACTTTGTGAAATTTTCAATTTAATCAAATAAAGGTAAAATATGTACATAACTATATATTCAGCATCACTTACGGAATATAAATAACAGATTAAAAGTGACAGGGATTCCAAGACTTCGATAGTTTTACGCAGTTTCAACCAAAATGTATCTTTTCTTACCTACTAACAAAGTTAGAACACCTTGTAAATTGATTACATGTCTTTTCAATATCAATACGTTCATGTATTAGCTTAATGAATTTACCATTCATTTTTCACAATGTTTTTTTTCCTTTCTGTTTTACTTAAAACCTACATTAGAGGGATAAAGTATCTAAGGGAAAAATACAAGTTATATATATACTATTTTAAAATATACTTAGGGATACTAGTACCCCTAACACAAAAATAATTTGGAAAATTTAAGTTAACCATGGTAAAGTAATGGTTTTTCCTACTCTACCAATTATTTTTTTTTAAATCTTATCATGGAATTCAAATGGCTTTATATTATTTGTTATAGTTTTGCATTTTCAATAGCGACTGTTTGTTTTTTTAGCGGCAATAGTGCTTCTATATTCATGATTATAACAAATAATGGTTGCATTAAGTGAAATATTGCTACACATCCTCACATTGCAAACATTTTCAACTAACGGAATTATATCATAAGTATGATTCACATGATGAATATCAGAATATACCATAATAATAAACTACTTCTTACTGTTGTAAACTGAAGTATTTTTTTTTTTTTTTTTTTTTTTTTTTTTTTTTTTTTTGCCAGGGACAATTTTTTTCATTTCGTTGAAATCCTGTTGATAAATCTACATTCAGGAAGTTATTCTTAGATTTCAGTCATTTTGACAATTTTAAAACATCTCATAGTGTAAAATAAACACATTTTCTTATTTGAAATATTACCATTGTTATATCAAAGGACATATGATTCCGTCTCTGCACTAAGAAGTACATATTTCATTAACTTCGTCATAATGCAAGATCTTTTTTTCATTCAGAGTGCCATTAGCGCTGGTGGTTTAGAATTTTCTGCGTTTTTTGACATTCTTGATGAATGTGGCCTTTGGCGACTTCGTCATTTAAATCTAGTATTTTTTGAAATGTACTAAAATTGTTTATACGTTTAGACGTCTATTCGGTGAGAGTTTATTTCTGTATGGAATTAAAATGAAGTTTAAAAAGAGAGTTAAAAAACGGTTTTTATTTTTGTAATTGCAATAAGGAAAAACTATAGCTATTAAGCATTTTAACATAATGAAAAAATTCAAAAGAAAGGTTTTTAAAAAAATAGAAACGAGCAAAAAATTTTCTCCCAACTTGCTGATTTGTTAGGCATGATTCTGAATGATCTTCTCGAAAGCTCTTCCATCATCAAACTTCTGTTGCAATATACCAAACGACGATCACAGACATCCATAAATTATTGAAACTGTCATTCTCTAGAGTTTCTACGATGGGTCTATGTTGGGCCCCTTTATCAGAATCAGATTGCCCTATCGTGTGCCTAAGATCACAGTAACACGTTGCCCCCAACTCTATCACTAGACACTTATCATCTATAATGTGTAAGTAAATTTGAACAAGGAGAAAATAACACATTTTTGTCGAGTGTTCTTGTTTTAATTTATAAATAAGGAATTTTCTTTTCAAAAGAGGACTCTATAAAGCTATACAGAATACGACAAAGTACGACAAAGGTAAACACGTTAAAAGTTTGATATCTGCACGTTGACACAGCAATTTACGAAAGGTTACAACATTGGATAACATCGGATTTAAACATGTTCAGGGATCCTTTTTTTTATTTGTAGGACTCAAGCAGCTAAACTTTCTACATGCTTCTCCACGATAACACTCTAAAAACCGACATGTTGTGTCTGTGTGCACTTTGTTAAATATCACGAGAGAATTGGACTATTTGCCGTTGCTACAGATTTGCTTCTATTAAACCACTAGTAAGTTTAAATTACAAATATATGCAATATGAAACACATTCATGAATTGCATTTAAAAGTTTATAATTGTACATAATTTATATGCGTAATATGGAAATGTAATAAATGCATTTCTTACTAATTCATTCATATCAGCCGCCCTGATGTCTCTCCGTAGATCGTTGAAATACTGCACGTTCATTTTCCTGTCCCTGTGGCTGAGGAATACAGAGACCCCAGGGTAGGACGCACCCTCACATTCCAGGGCCAGAAAAAATCCGACGGTCAAAGGCACCGTCAATAATAATGTATTATCAATTCCAATCATCGTTCAAAACTTGCATCAATTTCCAAGAACAAACTAATCTCACTGACCCATTGTCTTAACACTCTATTTTCCACAAGAATCTAAAATCTGGCAAATTATATATGGTCCAGGTGTCATCAGATGCAGGTAGGATCAGGAATAACTCACAGGTAGTCTGTATCTGGCAAAGTTAAATCACCAATTGCCGCTACTTAATTTTAAATAAAAAAAAATAATCGTGCCCTGCTTCTAAGGCGAACGTTACCTGAGTAAAGATATATAACCCGTCAACACATCAAGGTAAGTTTTTTTTTCGGGCAGAGGCTTGATATAGTATTGATAAAATCCATTTTGTGTAGTTCACAAATGACCACGAGGAAACAGGTTATGGGCGACTTTCCAAACACTGTGTGTTTACTGCACAAAATCCCTGTAATTTTGTCATAATTCATTTTATATTTTTTTCTTCAAATTTTCCTAACGTTATTCTGATAGAATTTTACGTAACACGGCGATACAATATTGAATTTCACACGAAAGGTCAGCTGATCAGACGAGTTCACGTCAATAAGATGTTTAAATTCAACACCGTTGACAAATGCATAATAAAACATTTGTATGCATAGGACAATGTAAACGTCTAAGATGATGACTGACAGAGACACGTTGACTCAAAAACCATGCAGGTATCCGAGATCAAAGCACGAGGACAATCTGACATATTAGGAGTTTATTGGTTATGTACACAGTGTCTGAACATGTCTTCAGTGATGCAGTGTTCAAAACAATGTTTGGTTCTTAAATCAATAAGAAACCCTCTTTTCATGTCTCTCGGGAGAAAAGGGAACATTAAAAGTTTATTTTTCTTGAATTTGCTTGAATGATTATTTTTGTAAACAAGCACTTTGTGTATTAACATTGTACGTAATTGCCTCGTCAAGAAACACTGGCCATCCGACAAATTAGAACGAAAAGAAAACATAAAAGGTAAAAAAGTGAAATACAGAATGAAATACAATCACGTTTATTGCCCGGAAATGTCACAAAAAACCTTCTTCTTGGTAAATGTCACGGTCATTTAAAATATTTTCACTATTGTCGTTAAAGTACAAGTAGCAATTAGGTTTTTCATTTGTTTAATTGATTTTTTTAAATATCTTTTTCTTATGTTTTTAAAAGTAAATATTCATAAACTAAATGAGATTTTGTGCTCAAATATTTAAAATAAAAAAAAAAAAAAAAAAAAAAAAAACAAGAGGCCCATGGGCCACATCGCTCACCTGAGCACAATGGCTAGTAAAAAAAACCCAAATCAATTCAGTATTGAAAAGTTTACATGGGGGACTTGAATTTTAAACTACCTAAAGATGCTTCCATATCAGTATAACAAATGGCTTTGCTGTTCTTGAGCAGAAGATTTTTAAAGATTTTTTCCTATATATTCTTTTGTAAAAAAGTTGATACCCCATTGTGGCCCCTCCCTACCCCCAGAGGTAATCATTTGAACAAACTTTAATCTACACTACCCGAGGATGCTTCCATATCAATATGACTAAACATGGCTTTGCTGTTCTTGGGACAAAGATTTTTTCCTTTATATTCCTACATGTATGTAAAACTTTGATCCCCCATTTTGACCCCACCCTGCCCCCGGGGGTCATGATTTGATTAAACTTGAATTTACTTACAATACCTGAGAATGCTTCCATATCAATATGACTAAACACGGCTTTGCTATTCTTGAGAAGAAGATTTTTAAAGTTTTTTCCTATATATTCCTATGTAAAACTTTGATCCCCCATTGTGGCCCCATCCTAACCCCAGGGGTCATGATTTGAACAAATTTGAATCTATACTACCTGAGGATGCTTACATATCAATATGACTAAACAAGGCTTTGCTGTTCTTGTGAAGAAGATTTTAAAAGTTTTTCCCTATATATTCCTATGTAAAACTTTGATCGCCCACTGTGACCCCACCCTAACCCCAGGGGTCATGATTTGAACAACTAGAATCTACAATAACTGAGGATGCTTACATATCAATATGACAAATCATGGCTTTGCTGTTCTTGAGAAGAAGATTTTTAAAGATTTTTTCCTATATATTCTTATGTAAAACTTTGATCCCCCATTGTGGCCCCACCCTACCCCCAGGGATCATGATTTGAACAAACTTAAATCTACACTATATAACAAAAGTTTCTTATAAGTTTCAATTTTTTTTGGGCCAGTGGTTCTTGAAGATTTTTAAAATATGCCACAAAATTTTCACTATTTCTGAATTATCTCCTCTTGAATGAGGGCGTGGCCCTTCATTTGAATAAAGTTGAATCCCCTTCACCCAAGGATGCTTTGTGGCAAGTGTGGTTAAAATTGGCCCAGTGGTTCTGGAGAAGAAGTCGAAAATGTGAAAAGTTTACAGACGGACGGACAGACGGTCTACAGACAAAATTTGATCAGAAAAGCTCACTTGAGCTTTCAGCTCAGGTGAGCTACAAAATCCAAACTCAAGCGTCCATAATTTTCAAACAAACCTACTTAAACTGGTTTTCAAAATTAATTTTTGTTTTTGTTGCTTTGTTTTTGTTTTTTTAAATGTTTTTTTTTTTATTTGTTTTTTTTTTCCTTTAATTTCTTTTCTTTTTTAATTTTTTATTATATTATATTATATTTTTTTATATAATTTTATTTAGGAAAAAAGCTATTTTATCAAATATGAAATTAGAGTGCTCATAAAGGTCCACGTGTTTAAAACCGATAAAACAGCACAAGGAAAGTCAAATAAAGAGCAGCCTCGCCCGTAAACGATACTCTTAAATGCAACCCTCACACTAGGAGAATTTGTTACGTCACAGCTCGGGTAGTCTTCCTATCTCTCTCTACATCTCTTCGCCACACGCACTGTTTCTCTCCGCTCTTATACTGATCACGACTATCTTGTGTTGGTAAATGAGGACAATTAAAAATTTTATATCCGTGGATTAATATACACAGTCCCACCCTTTGCCATAAACATATCATGCGCCGTATCAAATTATGAATAACGCAAGAAACAATTTTTAAATTACAGATATCATTTGTGACCCACTGCCAGTTATGGAATACTGTCACCATGTTATGTTTAGATTGTTAGGCCTGATGACATTAAAAAAAAAACTAAGGCAAGTCATTAAATGTCATATATCTTGAAATAAGTAAAAACATCGGTCATAAGCAAATGAAATTCTCTTGCGCTTTTAATTTCTTTCAGAATTAAATGGTCGGTATTCGGCGTCAACTGAAAGTGAAGTTCATGTTAGGACAGGTCGACGTTAGATGAGAGCTCTATCAATAACGGAGAAGCTGGACGCCCAGCCCGGGGGTGACAGGACAGCTGTCAGATTCTACCACCACAAACTGGTATGTAATGGAGGAACACAGGTTAGTATCGTAAATAAGCACAAATCTGCTTCATTTCTAAATGTCCGAATACAGTTTACAAGACTGAAAATGATGCATCGCAGAAGAATACATTACAGTCTAAAACGTGAAGATGATCAACAGTGATCAGTTGTAATCTCATTAATCAAGTAAAAACAATTGTAGACAGGGGAAAAATCACGGACCCTGAAAATACCAGAGGTTGATCAGGTGCCTAGGAGGAGTAAGCATCCCCTATCGATAGGTTACACTCTCCGTGAGCCTATGTATACGATACGATGCAAGATGAAAGAACAGAAATCCATGAAAGGAAAAACTAGAGATACATTATGTGTACATGTATACCATTAAGTCATAATTGACGGAAAGTTCAATTAAAAAAATTTAATAAAATAAATAAATAAATAAAGATTAAAAAGAAAAAAATTAAAAAAGAACTGTGAATACATAATAAATGCAATTGACAATGTATCCTTCATATATTTCCTTGTTTGTTTAGTTTTCTATTTGTTTGGATTGTTTATTATTAAAATTATGTATTTTTGTATATTGTATATTTTTTTGATTTTTGTTATATAATTCTCTTCCATTTGTATTGAAATATTGTTTATTTGTATTCTATGATGTTACGTTCAGGTATATAATATTTGTTATAATCCCTATGCTTCTATCCCTCCACCGTTTTGATAGCCCTTCTACATTTTTTTTGAGCAAAGCATTTTTGGGGTATATGACTAGCCATATCAAACATGTGCAATGAGGTTTAGGAATTCTAATTTCGGTCTAATGGTTCCTAGAGGCCCAGAAAGGCGTGATTCCAAAACGAAACTACTTCTATAATTTGAATGGAAGCTAAAGACAAGTTTTCCTTATAATGAAGAGATCGGAAAGTGTAATATTTAGATGTCAAACTTGTGGCCTACGAAATGGCACATAATGTACAGAAGAGTTGATTATAGAAAAAGAGCACCGCATAGCGGAGCATCTCCTCGCAAAAGAGCATATCAATCCTGATATGAATTATTACTTGCTTAACTTTTGTTACGCACCCACTCACTCAACCCCCCTTCCTCCCACACACACACACGAGCGTCACTATATCCTCTCCAACTTCGTTGCGAGGGGATAAATTTTATTTTATTTTATTTATTTATTTATTTTATACTTATATAATTCTCAGTAAATAAAAGGTTGAAACTAGGTTTTGAAAATTGAGCATGTTGATCGAGTTTTGATATGTTCCATGTCATGAATTATGTGGACCGCTGCTACAGTTTGATTTATTAATCAGTGTAAATTTATTTGAGCAGTGATCATTATGAATGATTTCTGATTGATAACTGAGTAAAAGTGTCATACTTTGCAGCTTTTATTGTTTAACTACAAATTTTGTCTTGCTGCATTGAGCAAAAAATTTAATGTTGATTTTCGAAATTCTGTTACTGATTACAGTAGGGCTGGGACGATTCAGGGTTCAATCGATTCGGTTAGGTTTCAGTTCAGAATGAAACGGTTCGGGGTTTTTTTTCGAATCGGTTTGATTTAAGCTAAAACGGTCTAAATATTTTTCATCATAAATGAAAAATAATAATCTCTGCTATTTCATGTAGAAATGCAATAGAATTTTTTAAGCTGCCTGTGACTTAAATATTCAGCAATCAGGTTTATCTTTTAGTATCTTGTATTTAAAAGCGCTAAACTTTTCATGTTGAACAAAGTATTTAGGAAACTCCGATCCTCAGGTTCTGAAAATAACAAAGTGTTTTATATATAGATCTGGTAATGCATTTACTTGAGAAAGACTTTGATGGCATATTAACAACTAATAATTATGATAAAAAGCTTTCTTTTATTTACATAGCAATATACCAATACGACATGTATGTAGTATTTATATCGATATACAAGAGAATGTTCTGTATTCGAACAATTTCTAAACTGAAGCATGCTGCTGACAAATAAATTGATGTTAAAATGTTTCAACAATTTCGTTTAAAGTCAAAATTTC